CCGGATCCTCTTTGGGGATTTGACATTTGTGAATTGTGTTGATTCATCATGATATCGTGCGATCGATTTTCGACTGGTAGTATTTATTTTCATTACGTACTATTTATGTTTAATTTTTAATAAAAAAATTTAAATTAATTTATGATTATATAATATACGATTTACGAATTTTGAATGCTCTAAGGGGGATCCGCATTCCCTAATTTATGCGCCACGCAAGCCGCCGGCCGCTTTTGCCGAACTTGCAACTTTGCAAGACGACACAAATTACTCCCCAACGAAACATGAAAAAAGATGCCATTTTTCTCTTCACTCCCTCTCTCCCTCCCGCGGTTGACAATTTCACTTCACACCAACTGACTAATCGAAAAACCAAATTCCAATTTTGATTGCGTTTTTTTTTTTTTTTGGGTTTGAATTCTCTGCAACAACCGCGCAGAATGGCTGCGGCGACTCTGTCTTCGACGGTGTTTGCAATCTCCGCCTCTTGCTCTTCTTCTTCTTCGTCTCTCAGAGCAAGGAGGAGCTTCAAGACTTCAGCTTTTTCATCTCGGAATCGTTTTCCATACAATCCCATTTCATCTCGTCCGTCGATTTCCAGGTATGCTAATTTTCCACCACTTCAAACGTAGAAAAATGGGATCTTTAATTTTGGGTTTTTTTTTGCTATTTTATGTTATGAATTTCTGAAGTTTTGTTGTCTGTGCTTTATGGGATCTATGAACTGGATTCTAAATTCAAATTTGTGGGCCTTTTATTCACTCGATAACAAAATTTGTGTAGAGTTCGAGCAACTATGCTGCACGAAGATGAAGAGAAGGTGGAAGTGGAGGAATCCTTTGAGTTCAAGGCTTCTACCTTTGATGAATTGAAAGCTAGCAGCGGGAATCTCTCTGAGAGTTCGTCTTCAAGTGCTTTTGAGATCTGGGTTATCAAGTGTGAACAATCCTTCAACATCTTCCTTACGGTAAATCTTTACTCATTGTCAAATTAATCGTTTTGCCGTGCTTGCCTAGTTCCAATGTCGATTTTTCGAAGAAATGTTAAATCATTTTTGTTGATTGTTTGGGGGTTATGCTTAGGAGCTTTTGTCTCTGGCAGTTGTTATTGATGTTTAGATTTTAATTCAGTTCTACTAATCATTCCAGGATACAGTTATAAAGGTACTTGAAACTCTGTACAGCGACCGGGATTATGCAAGGTTCTTTGTACTGGAAACTATTGCAAGGGTTCCTTACTTCGGTGAGTGCTAAACTTTGTTTATTAATAATTTTGAATTTTCTGCACTTCTCTGAAATGGTATTTGTAATGAGATGCAAAGAACTTCCTTTTCAAGCAAGAGGAAATCTTCAAATGATCGAGGACAAGTTGTCAATTCATTTGAAGGCATTGTATGTATATTGTTACATTAGTATGTCAAGAAATGTACATCAATCATGCATGTCCTGACAAGGCTGACAAACATCATAAATTGGCCCTATCTTGTGTTAGAAATATGATTCATATGACATATGGAGCGTGCACCTTTGCAGTATCATGTTTTGTTGGTCAAGATGATGGTGATGATTTCATGGAAGGATGTGCCTCAAAATTCCTTATAATTTTCTCTCAGACTCTGTGTATAAGCTGCTTAGGAACTTGTTCTTGTGTAGTTCGTTTCCCAATATTGTTGTCAACTGCGATTCCCAGTTGCAAGTTTTAAATCATGTCTTTGTGGTATATCGGTGGCAGCCTTTATGTCTGTTCTGCACATGTATGAGAGTTTTGGTTGGTGGAGAAGGGCAGATTATCTGAAGGTGCATTTTGCTGAGAGCTGGAATGAGATGCACCATCTGCTTATCTCATGGAAGTAAGGATCTTCCTTCTGTAATATCGTCTACATGGTTTGCTTGATTTAATGATAGAATATGGATGTAATTGCAGGAATTGGGGGGAAATGCTTGGTGGTTTGACCGCTTTCTTGCTCAGCACATTGCAGTCTTCTATTATTTTATGACGGCCTTTATGTATTTAATAAGCCCAAGGATGGCATGTAAGTATTAGTATCTAATTTTTAATGTGCTATAATTCCTCTGCTTTGTTGTCTCTCTCGCATACCAGTGTCGTGTTTGGTGCATTATCCTTAGTGGTTACAAACTTAGAAGAATTTCGTCCATTGAAATCAATATCAAGCCTTTATGAAGGGGTAGACAAATTTGGTCAAAATTTCGTTTTCTTAAAATCCCTTTGTAAAACTTAACAACAGTTGCATTAAGAAGTATTCTGTTGATTGCATGTGATATGGATTGTAGTTACAGCGTTGTTTCTTGGATCCTTTCTGCCCAATTCTGTTTAAGTTTGTAAGTTCATCTTCAAATGACACTACAGAAATAGGTGATCGGAAAACTATCCGGTATATTTAAATGCGTGTTTATGTATTTTGTTTGATGACTATTGCAGATCACTTCTCTGAATGTGTAGAGAGCCATGCATATTCAACCTACGACAAGTTTATCAAGGCCCGAGGAGGTATGATTTAGAGTTTTTCAGGACTTGATGCCTTAAGACTGACTAGGTTGAATCATCAAACGGTGTTTGTTGGGTCACTTCAAATATTCTAAGCATGTAACGTCCAAGTGACGATCTTAATTGATCGGTTGTAAAATGCACTGTTTTTCCTCAAATACAAATTCACTTATCTTGACATGGTATTTTCTTCTGTTGTAGAGGATTTGAAAAAGATGCCTGCTCCTGAGGTTGCTGTGAAATACTATACTAGTGGTGACATGTACTTATTTGGTAAGTTTTGTGTATTTTTCAATCTTAATTTGTGTCCTGAAAGGTAACAATTGACGATTTAACAATCCCCCCCCCCCAAAATTTTATGCAGATGAATTTCAAACTTCCAAGACCTCCCAATTCTCGAAGGCCAAAAATAGGCAAGCCTTCAGATCTGATTTTTTAATGGGACATGCTACGAGTTTGCTCAATTTTTAGACTTAGTTTTAGTTTCGCGTTGAACATAAACTAATCTTGCACAGCTGTGCACAATAATTGTTGTTGGCACATTATGAACTGCGTTTTTGATAAATGTTTCTTTTTCAGAGAACTTGTATGACACATTTCTGAACATAAGAGACGATGAAGCTGAACACTGTAAGACGATGAAGGCCTGCCAGACTCATGGGAACCTCTCGTCTCCTCACGCACGCACAGAAGACTCCTTAGAAGATGACTCTACCTGCGTTATTCCTCAAACAGATTGTGAAGGTATTGTAGATTGCATAAAGAAATCCATCGCGACAACGCCAGCAAAGTGATGATTACACGACATAAAAGGACAGGAAAATTAGGTAGAATTAGTGAATGGCGAAAGAAATTTGTATACGAAAGAACGATCATATGGTATAGATCTAATTACAAAAGAAGTATTTGGTTATTGAATGACGATTGCTCTTCTAGTTTTCTCTTCCATTGAGGAAGAAGACGACGGTTTCTTCTTTCCAGTTTCTTTGACAATTGTAACTAGGAGGGAAGGAACATTCCATGCATGGAATGAATAGAACATAACAGCCGACAGCTACTGTGGTTAGGAGGCTCAGTGAGATAGGGAAGAGCGAACGAAGTGGTAGTCAACTTCTATGTGCTTAGAGGGGGCATGGAACCCAAGATTGGCCGCCGAGTGTGTAGCTCTCGCCTTATCACAGTGCAGGAGAAATTTTAGAGTGAAATGGCATCGCTAGATCGTGTAGCAAGAAAGTCATAACAGTAGGTGGTAAAGGCAACCTCCTTGTACTTTGAGACACTCAATTTTATTGATACAGAACAAACAAGTATTAAGTACGAAACGCCCCTGCAAATGAACAAGGTGCAGTAGACCTCAAAGTGCCAAATTGTATTAGAGAATGACTTAAATGGGAAAGGGGTCCTCTTCGAATCTCTTCCTCCTAATCTACCAAATCCGTGGATCCGTGCCATTGAAATTTGATCCAACGGTTACAAACACAGACTCACTTTAAAAGTTATAATAACTTCAGCCGTGTTGGATCAATTTTAATGACACAGATCTACTGATTTGGTGGATTAGGAAGAAAGGATCTAGAGATGACCCATTTCCCAAAGAGCAGCCCCAGCATGTGTTGGAGCCCGAGGATCAGGCATGCGAATGGTGGCAAAGAGCTTGAGCAAGCAAGCCCAGCGTGTGCTGGCGAGGGAGCCCGAGCAGGCCCGTGGGAGAGCCCCGACACGAGTTGCCAGCCCGAGAGCCCGAAGGCAATGCTGACGTCGCCCACAAACTTGCCAGAGTTTACTCCGAGGAGGTGACCAAAAATTGGGCAAGGTTTCAGAGAAATTGTAGGGGGTTAAACCTCTGGTTTCGAACTAAAAAAACACCACAAATCTTGTCCCAAGCAACATTAAGACATAATGAAACAAGATTTGCATAGAAAACCTCACTTGGGTTCGAGTTTCAGATCTTGAAGCTCTCAACTTCAATGGTGGTTTACACCGTGATGGTCCGATGATGCATGCAATGGTATAGCTAAGATTTTTAGTCCCAGAGATTAAGGTTTAATGGTTTTGGAGTTTGATTTGTTTAATTTTCGGAGAGGAAAGTGGGTGAGAGCTCTCGGAGCTCTAGAGAGAGTGAGAGCGTCGAGAGCCTAGAGAGAGCAAGGAACTTCAAAAAAAAATGGAGAGCAGTGAGAAAGATGAGTGGAAGGAGAGGGAGTGAAGAGTACACAGGAAATTCCAAGCAAGTTATAAAAAATATTATTATTTTATTTACTTGTCAGGGCTATTTAAGTATATGGATGGAGATGCAAAATATAATTACGGTTCATTAAGAGCAATTGCTATTCGCTAGTGAATTAAATAATAAATAGCCCTTGAAAGCCTTTCGCACAGTGTAACTACTCTAGTACATCATCGTCGGAGTGTTTCGTGCCATAATTTTAGGTTATCACCGGCTCCCACCTCTGGCCCCACTTTTGGGAGCGAAAGCCGCATATGATCGGCCGTACGCAAAATTTTCTCCATGTCTCCATCAAGTCTAATCCCAGTCACGAGTCATCATACGCCCACGCAGCCACCTTGCAATGCTAATATTCCCTCTGTCTCTCTCTTCCTATAAATACGGATCTTCCTTTTCCCCTTAGATTCTCAGAATCCCTCTCTCTCCTCCCTCTCGCTCTGATCATCCTAACACAACTTCCGAATCAGTTAAATAATAAACAAATATTATATTTTTTCTGCTTTCACATTTTATTTAGCGCGAAAAAATAGGAGGCAGCGATGAAAATAGAGAGCGGGGAGCAGGAGGTCTCCACGGCGTCGCCGGTGGCGAAGGCTCCGGAGATCGGAGACGAGAATGAGAGGTGCGGAGAGGCGTTCGTGCCGCCTCTGAACTTCGCGATGGTCGACAATGGCGTGTTTAGGTCCGGCTTCCCTCATTCCCCCAATTTCAGCTTCTTGAAATCCCTCGGCCTCCGTTCCGTCATGTGAGTCAAATTCCAGCAGTGAACTTTGTTTCCGTTGATTAATCTAGCTTCAAATTTGGTTTTGGTTTTGCTTTGATTAGATTTGGGGAATTTCGACTGATCGTTGTTTTGATTGGGTTAGATATTTGTGCCCGGAGCCGTATCCGGAGGAGAACAAAGAGTTTATGAGAGCAAATGGGATTAGGCTTTTCCAGTTTGGGATCGATGGCTCTCAGGTTTCGTTTTCTTTTCGATTTCTTTTGCAGATATTATATTAACCTTGACATAATTACTCTGCAATTTGTGTCTGGGGTTATGCTTGGATTGCTTGGAAGTTGGGATTAGAGAATAAGATTATAGTAATTGCTTTATAATCGTGTGTATTTTCAAATCGGGATGTTCCCTTCTCCGATGACGAATGTAAAGTCCGCACCCGCTAGTATGTGCGGGTGGTTAAGGAGGGACATTATCATTGTTGATTAGTAGGCCGTTGGTCGTCGGTTGTACCAAATGTGCGGGTGGATAAGATTTGAACTGCTTAGACAAAAGCCAGAATTTAGTAGAAATCATATGAGGGGTTGGGGACAAAGGATTATTTTGTTGATATTATCGGATAGAAAATCGTTTTGGAGTGAAGGGTTTCGGGTTTGAGTTGATAGATTTTGGAAATAATTTTCACCATCAACCCATTTTAGAAAGAGAGATGCCAAATTGCATGTCTATATCACTTCACTTCATTAGCTCAAGTGGTAGTTGGATGAGGCTTTTGGCCTTGCTGTGTCCCGCTCCCACTATGTCCTTGTGCAAGCCCTTTGCCCATTGTATTTTTATTCCCACTATGAATTTATGATGCCCCTTTTCTGCCAAACCTCAGCTTTGCGAGAGAGACTACTCACTAACATGAAATGGGGACGCCAAGGTGGCAGTGACCCAAACCTTTCACGCGTCGTTGTGGCTTGCCTTGCATGAATACTAAACTTGAATGGAACTGCAAGATAAAAGTCTGGAGCACCACTATATGCGTCTACACATATTTTAGGTGATTGATTGGCTTCCCCAACACCTGTAAATTGCATGTTTATTGTTGCTTTATCTTTTGCTCTAAAAAATACATTAAAACTGGGTGGTTAGACAAACAATATTGACAATCCTACTCAGCACTTTTATTTGTATATATGGATTATTACTCGCTAATGACGTATTTTCCATTTTGAAGTAGCCGTCCACCTTTAGCCTTAGGTTGTTTTGCTTTCCCTGTGCTTTGTTGGTTTACTTTACCTATTTCAGTTGCCTTGTGTTTTGTCAGCTAGCAATGAATTTAGATTTTCATTGGCTTTTGCTTTGTACTCTGGCTTATTCAAAATATGCCAATAAGTCCTCTGCTGTTATCTCTTAGATGGCCATTCCTGGTTTTCAACTTTTCGTTGATTGTTTTTTACTTTTCCAAATGTCAGTCTGCTGTTTCATTGGATTGTATTTTACTTTTCCAGATACCGGTCTTCTGATGATCAGATCTTGCTTTTGATCAACTTACCACCCTACACGTATTGGAAAATGCTTTAAACTGTTTCTCTATTTACTGTAACTTCAATCTGGAAGACTTATTGACGGATATGTCTGAGCTCACTGATGTTTATAACTTGGGACTTTGCTTTGAGCTACTTATAAATGATATCAGTTGATATTTTCAGTCATGTGCTAACATATTCGGTACAGGAACCTTACGTGAAAATCCCGGAGCACACAATTCGTGAAGCATTAAGAGTTGTCCTTGGTATCACTAACCCCCTTGAACTTAAAGCCTCTTTTTTGTTCTTAATATTAGGCCACGGCTTGTTTGTTTTACGATTTGCTTATCGACTGGCTTGCCTGTGTATATGCCAGATGTAAGAAACCACCCACTCCTGATCCATTGCAAGCGAGGGAAGGTGCTCTATGATTTCCCACTTTTGCGTTTTCTCAAACAATCTTGGGCTCCATCTTCCAACGAGTGTTTTTTGTTATTAATGTTGTGCAGCACCGGACGGGCTGTCTTGTGGGATGCTTAAGAAGATTGCAAAGATGGTGCCTGACCTCAATCTTTGATGAGTACCAGAGGTTTGCAGCTGCAAAATCTCGAGTTTCGGATCAGAGGTTCATCGAAGCGTTTGATATTTCAAGCTTCATGAACTGTCCAATGTCGTTTTCGTGTTCAAAGAGATAGCAGAATCATTATGCAGAGTGCAGAGTCATTCACTCCTCCCTGGAGAAGAAGAAGATCATTGAGAGCGAGAGAGAGAGAGAGCAAATACTCCAAGTCCCTGTCATCCTTTGGGTGTTTTTGTACATAAATATTAAATACAAAATTTAAATTTTGAATTTTCTATACGTGTTTATACACTTATCAAACAATCCATTTTTTCACATTTTAATGATATGCAGATCCATTTTTATGTAACGGAGCTTGTAACTTAGTTGTTTAAAAGTATTTCTCGTATTTTTGAGGCTCCTGATTCAATCAAATCAATCCCCCCCTCCCCATATTACCTGTACACTTGAAGATTTGATCGAAGGGTATTAAACCAGGAACTTACATGATATGAGGCCTCAAAAAATCCTTCGCATATGGGAAATTAAATTGTTCCATCATAAAATAAAAATGGAACCAATCGGCTTATATCTGTTCATCTGATGCAACGAATTTATCAAAAACGCAAGGAGGTGTAGTGTACAACATCGAGTCGACCCGAATCGAGCACAAGTATTGTCGATTTAAAAATGAACCGGCCCAACACGACTTGATTTGCCAAGTCTAGCACAAGACGTGAGTGGTATATTACTCTGGTGGTTATGACAACTCTCTTCAAATCACTTATCTCGGATTCAAACTATTTTCTTATTATGCATTATCATTTGGATCAAAATATAAGCGTTAAAAGTGAATGATACCACCCAAAATAGATCGACGTTGGAAGATGAACGTGTCTGTGGGGCCCGCCTCAGATTATATTAAACCCCGCTGGAATTCATTTGCAGATACCTCCACTTCTCTAGGGTTTGAGCCATCCTAAAGGGCAAGAGTGAGTGAGAGGCTGTTGAGTTCAGTGTTGCTTCCAGGGGCCTAGGGTTTTATCCTCTTCCTCCTCCTCCTCCGAACATTTCGCCGATTGGATTTCATCCAATCCAAACCCCATCACTCGGATTCAAACCATTTGCGTCAAAGATTGATGCTTTTCGAGCTTGTTCATCGGTAAGTGCCCCCATTTCTCTCTCTCCATTTTTCGTTCAATTCTCGTCGAAAACAGTGAAAGCTTGCTGCTTTGATTCTTCGTATCATCAATTTTGGATTATATATACCCAAGATTTTGTGTATATAAGTGGGAGAGTGGGAGAGGGTTATATGGGGAAATCAGGGGGTAGGAAGAAGAAGGGAGCTTCGAACCAGGTCCCGAAGGATGCGAATTCGACTCCGATTTCGAACGGTAGTGTTGATTTTGACTCTTCAATCTTTTTGAAAAGAGCCCACGAGCTCAAAGAAGAAGGGAACAAGAGATTTCAGGGAAAGGACTATGTGGGTGCTCTGGACCAGTATGATAATGCTCTTAAGCTCACTCCCAAGAACCACCCTGATCGCGCGGTTTTCCATAGCAATAGGGCGGCTTGTTTGATGCAAATGAAGCCGATAGATTATGAGACTGTCATTGCTGAGTGCACCATGGCGCTCCAGGTGCAGCCCCGGTATGTCAGGGCTCTGCTTCGGAGGGCAAGGGCGCTGGATGCGATAGGGAAGTATGAAATGGCGATGCAGGATGTTCAGGTGTTATTGGGTGCTGACCCGAATCACAGGGATGCTTTGGAGATTGCCCAGCGGTTGAGGACAGCGCTTGGGCTGCGTCAGGAGGTTCAGCAGGACCTCCAGAGCCGCCCATCACCTGCTGCTCTTGGGGCTTCTGCTGTTCGCGGTGCTCCAGTTGGTGGGTTAGGGCCTTCTTTACCTGCCCGACCGGTTCTAAAGAAGGCAGCTGCTTCAGCTGGGGGCTCTGGTATATCCCCAATTAGTAGGACTGAGAAGCCACAAACAAGTTTACCGGCTGAGAATGGACCTGAGAACAAAACCCAAATGCCAAAGCTCACATTGAAGCCGTCCAATGGTCCTTCAAAATCTGCTAATCCAGGGAAGGGTATCCTAATGGAGCCATCGTCTTCATCAGTTTCATTGCCCGTGAATAGGCAGCTTTCAGAGGCTGCAACTCGTTGGAGACCATTGAAGCTTGTTTATGATCATGACATAAGGCTTGCCCAAATGCCTGTGAATAGCAATTTCAGAGTGTTGAGGGAAGTTGTGACGAAGCGCTTTCCATCATCAAAGTCAGTTTTGGTCAAGTATAAGGATAATGATGGTGACATGGTGACTATAACCTCTACAGCTGAACTTAGGTTGGCTGAGTCTTGTGCTGACAAGGTCATTTCAGAAGAGCCTGAAATAGATAAAGCTGACTCAATTGGGATGTTGAGATTGCATATCGTGGACGTGACTCCTGAACAGGAACCGCCTTTATTGGAAGAAGAGGAGGAAAAACCTGTAGAAAGCGAGGGTGTCAAGGAAGATGAAAGTAACTCATCACTTGGTGAATCTGTTTTGGAGCCTGCTGATTATGAAACTGTTAAGTCAGAGAAAGAAGCTCCAAAGGAGAAACCAGGAGCTTCAGAAGATCCCGAGTGCAAGGAATTGGAGATGGATGACTGGTTGTTTGAGTTTTCTCAGCTTTTCCGCAGCCATGTTGGTATTGACCCAGACGCTCATATTGATTTGCATGAACTTGGAATGGAGCTTTGTTCGGAGGCTCTTGAAGAGGCAGTTACTAGTGAAGAAGCTCAGAGTCTTTTTGACAAGGCTGCCTCAAAGTTCCAGGAGGTGGCGGCATTAGCGTTCTTTAATTGGGGAAATGTTTATATGTGTGCGGCAAGGAAGCGGATTCCCTTAGATGAGTCTGCTGGAAAGGAGGTCGTGGCAACGCAGCTTCAAACGGCTTATGACTGGGTCAGGGACAAATATTCCTTGGCCAGAGAGAAGTATGAGGAGGCACTTGTGATCAAGCCAGACTTCTACGAGGGGTTGCTGGCGCTGGGGCAGCAACAATTTGAAATGGCCAAACTTCATTGGTCATTTGCACTTGCTAGGAAAATAGATCTCTCGACATGTGATTCTACAGAAATGCTGACACTTTTTGACAGTGCAGAGGAGAAGATGAAAGTTGCAACTGAGATGTGGGAGAAGCTGGAGGAGCAGAGAGCAAAGGAACTGAAGGATCCAAGTGCAGCCAAGAGGGAAGAGTTGTTGAAAAAAAGGAAAAAACAGGGTACCGGGAATGAAGGTGAGGCATCTGGTCAGGGTGAGTTATCGGCAGATGAAGCTGCAGAACAGGCAGCTGTTATGAGATCACAGATCCATCTCTTCTGGGGTAACATGCTTTTTGAGCGATCCCAGGTCGAATGCAAATTAGGGCTGGATGGTTGGAAGAAAAACCTGGACGCTGCTGTTGAGCGCTTTAAGCTTGCTGGAGCTTCTGAGGGTGACATTTCAATGGTTCTGAAGAATCACTTCTCCAATGTCGATAGAGTGGAGGGGGATGAGAAAAAGGTTCTAGGCAGTGACGCGCCTGTTGAAGCCGACAAAGACGATGATATTCTTTCAGGGAAGTAGGATCATTTATTTTAACACTGGTTTCCATGAAAATCTTCATTCTTTGCGTGTTCATCATGAGAATAACCGGAGAGAAGAGGCATTGGTTTTCTGTACTGAATGTTGGAATTCTGGAGTACTTTTTATTCAGTTTGAAAAGGTCGGGTGCCGGGATAGGCAGCTGTGTACCAAAACGATTTTGGGCAATGTTCTACACATTTTTCGCAATGTTGATGAGTTTTTAGTGTCGACTTTATGTGCGTGGGGTCCGATTATTGAGCTTTGCTGCTCCGATTCAGTGCAGCGTGGTATGTAATTGCAATCTTTATCTTTATAAAGTGAACATTTTTCGCATTACTGATGAGTTTCAAGTCTCCGTGCATAAGCCCTGCTATTTCGCTTGCGGCTTCAATCATGTTGGAGTGTGATCTATGAATGCAACCTCTGTTCTTATGATACGTGCATTGTCGAGTTTCAATTTCAGTTGTGAATGCACAATTCGTTCTCTTATCACTTTATCCGTGTTACCGCATCATTATCACATGGTATTACTAATCTGCGTGTTATAATATGGGTAAACAGATAGAATGAGAACCAACAATATATATTTAGCGCCTCCAACAACTCAATACAAATTGAGTTCAAATCTTCCGTATTCAATATTGTTGTGACCTCTATATAGGGTTTAGGGCGATCAGCAATATTTACTTAACTCTTCTTAACATGTGTCAATTAATAATAGATGTCACACATAAAATGAGCTCAACGATTTGATCCCCTGCAAATTTAATTTAACAAATGAGGATGAGTTAACTTTGAAGAACATGGATCCCTCAAAGATTAGGATTCTAATAATTTTTATTTTATATAGATAGATTTCAACTATAAGAACAGTGGAGAAAAAAGTAAAACTCTAACTTTCTCCTCCCCAACTTTATTTAGCACAAACGATAAAACCCAAAACCCTAATTTTGATTTCTTTTTGTCGTGTTCCATCGGACGGCTCTCAGACCTCGGGCAGTTTCAACAGGGGTGGTTTCCCTGGCCTTCATAGCTTCAAATCTTGGCTCCTTGGCTTGGAATTTGAGGCCAGAATACAGCTTCATGTAATCATCAAACAAAAATTTGGGATAAGTTGGGGTTTCCTCAGATTTCTTCTCCAGCAATGCCGGTGCCGGGCTGATAAACGCATCGTCGCCCGGGTTGTAGAACGAGGCTATCGACATTCTGGTTCCGTCCGACTGAGCTATCACCCGGTGCATTATACTCTTGTACTTCCCATTGGTGATCACCTGCATCAAATAATTATAGTCTAACATTTAGTAAACTTGATGGTAAAAGTAAAAATTATCTGTGTATGACGTACGTCCTCTTTATTATAAAACGGTTGAGCGTTGAAATGTATCGGTAACATGTCTGTACGTTTTGTTGACGACAGTGATACTAATATATTATTGATGATACATCGGACGTCCGGCCAATAAGACATGGGTAACTGGTAATTTGGTATACCTCAATCTGGTCACCTAAGTTGATGACAATGGAGTGGTGCACTGGGGGGACATCCATCCATTCACCATCCTTGAGGAGCTGGAGGCCGCTGACCTTGTCATCCTGGAAAAGCAGGATGATACCACCAGCGTCGGTGTGGGCCCGGAGTCCCTTGATCAGGTCTGGCTTGGGACATGGAGGGTAGTTGCTGACCTTGGTCCCAAAATTCGGACCCTTGGATCCATAGAAAGCCTTCTTCAGATAGCCCTTCTCAAGTCCAAGATTCTCACACAGCAAGTCCAAAAGCTTCTCAGCTAGCTTCTCCAATTCCACTGCAAATTCCTTCATGGTCTTCCTGAAATATTGTTCAAAATATATACAAGAAATCAATATGATATTCTAATACAATCTAGTCTACAAAACCGAGATCCAAACTTAGGTGCAATGGGGCCGCAAGGTGCTTTAGCTAACTTGGTTAAATCCAAATCAGCGGGAAATTAATTAAGTTTGTTGTAATTAGTGTGTGACCTGTAATCTTCCTCGAGATCAGGGATTTCGGAAATGTTTGAGGAAGGAAGGTGGCGCAAGAAGAAGGTGCTTTCCCAGTCCAAGTCGTGGATTTCGGACTGGACAGCTTCGAGGCCTTTGGCTGCCACCATTTCCTTGAACCTTTGCTCCATGGTCTTCTTGTAGTGATCCTTGTTCATCTTCTCCACAGTGTCCAAAAGCTCAGTTGATATCCCATGGTTCACCAACTTCAGTTATTTATACACAAAACAAAGAGTTGTCATATTTCTACAGAAATTAAGGCAGTACCAAAAAAACTGAGCAACCAGGGCGGTGTATTTGTTTTCCGACTCTCATATGCTTAGAGACGGATTTACTCTAAGCACACGAGGGACGGAGTTTTGTGCCTTGAGGAAGAAAAAAATATCGCAAAGCTTTGTTGGGGTTACGTACCTCAAAGAAACCCCAGTTCTCACATGCATCATTGATCTTCTCCAAGGTTGCTGCTCTCTCTTCACCATTGATAAGGTCCATGTCAACAACTGGGAAAGTTGCCATTTCTCTTTGGATTGCTTTCTTTGTATTTCCTTCTCTCTCTAGTTTTCTCTCGCTTTCTCTCTCTTTCTCACAAGCTTAACCGGCCTTGGTTAGTATGCTCACTTGCTCAGTTGTGGAGTACTTCCAGCTATGCTGCAATTTATAGGCTCTAAAGGAGTGGAGATCTGTAAATAGTTTGGATTTATTATATAACTTTTTATAATCTACTAATTCAATTTGAATGTGATTTTACCTAAATTAAAATATGCATGGTAGTATTAAAATGTAAATCAAAATATGTATGGTAGAGAATTAACAATCGAAAAAATATATTTTATGATGTTGAGGATTATGAGCATTTGTATTTAGACACAATGTATTTAGATTCAACGTAAAAGAAAATAATACACACTAATTAAAGAAAAAGTATACATAAGTAAAAAAATACATATATCTAATTATAAAAGGAAATAATATCAACCAATATTAGGCTTGTTTGAAATTATTTTTAAAATGATTGAAAACATTTTTGTTGAAGTTGATTTTTTGCATAAAACACTTTAAAGAGTCTTTCTAAGATTCACTTGAATTTTATTAAGAATTGATTTTAAAAATATTTTCATCGAAAATATTTTTAGTCATTTATAAGCACTTTCAAACAAGTTTATTATTGTATCTAAAAAATTATAAAAGGGCATGAAATTTTAGAAAATAAAATTAGAAAATGAAATAAGATATATTTAAAAAGAACAGGACTCCTGGGAGTACGTAAGCACGTCCTGATGGACCCCTACCAACTTGTCCTGAGGCTGTGGCCAATGGCCATAATCTATGCCCTGTTGAATCATCTTTCTTTTTCTCGTCTTTTTTACATGTTTATTTTTGTTATGGGGTTTCTGTATGTTACGGTTTCTGTTTACAAACTAGCTATTCTTCCAGACATGACCGAACGCAAAGCCATGACTACTTTTTCCCCATGCAAGCATACACTCGCCCTAGCTATCTGTCAACATTACTGTAGTTTAATTTTATCGGAGCAGTGCTTCTTTTTTCAACTTTAAAAGAGATCACGAACCCCTCACTTGAATGATTAAAGAAGCTAGAATCACCCAACCATAAAGCCTGGAAATAGGAAAAGTGTCTCATGGGTGCACGAATCAATCATGCATGTCCCAAATTCCTTTGCTAATAAGTTGAGAGAGAGAGAGATCACGCGCACATATGTTATTTTTTAATTACTATTCATCTGTCACGTCATTACGCGGTGCTGTCTTTTTATTTATATATGTTACAACATATACATGTATTTATTAATTAGTTTGTATTAGCTCTAGATCCATGAAATATCGACTAGATCTTTACTTATACTGAAATATGTGAATTAATAATATTGTCATTTGCCATGTTTTCTTTTTCTTAATATTGGCAATTATAGCTTAAGCAGTAAAAACAAAACTAAGGCATGCCACAAAAGGCATTGCTCATCATTCATAAAAAAAAGAGAAGTCGAAAAGCAAAAAACGTTGTGCGCAAATTAGTGAAAATCATTACCAAACAACATCTAGCTTTCGATCGATAACCTGCTAGTTAAACAATAGATTACAGGATTTAGAACTAGTACTTAGCAAATTAACAAATATCATTTGTTAAATGCATGGCTTGACTAGATTGCTTGCATGCATTGAGAAGGAACAGCAACATTGTGTATCTTCAAACAAAAAACACGTAACCAGAGGAGGTTTAAGACTTTAATTAATCAATGAAAGATTCAACTCTCGTGTTAATTATTTATTATTTTTCTTATAATTTGAACTTCTTGAGCGTGGCTTCATATATGTCGGAGAGAGTGGGCTACTTAATTAGTAATTACTGGTGGTTGAAATTGGATGTGGTAGTTAATTTTCCTTTTCAAAAGATAAAACAAGTAGAAATTTTTTCTTGCACTCAGAAACACATGTAACGTTCAACTTATAACATGAGTAATTGTTTTCTATTAATATACAAAGTTTATGTTATCCACGAAATTGTTGATTGTCGAAATATCCGAAAAATCAATGATTGATATGAAAGGGGGTGAAATGCAAACTTCACCTTATATCAACAAGATCTGAGAAAATCAATGAATATCGATGATATATATTTATCAATTTGCTAAAAGAAATATGCCAAAACCCATTGCAGATTTTAAACTTTTAGACTTTTTTGAGAAATTTTTCTCTAATTTCGACTAAATCTAAATGTGTTGAAACACCCACGCCATTGCAAATTCCATATAATTTCTGTCGTTGGCAACCGATATCAATATTTATATGATATATTCCTCGATATTTTCATAAATTTGTATACCGATATTTTCATAAATTTGAATATCAATATTTTCACCTATATCAATATTTTAAATATTGAATATATTCTAGATGCAATACACATCAATCATGTTATTTACCTTAGTATAACACATTAAATAACACACCACATAACTTGTGCTTCAGATAACCCGGTAACCATCAAATTTTCTCCTAAAACCAAGAGGCTTTAAGATTCAACCAAAGACTAGAGAGAAAAGCCATGGGCTATGAAACATTGAAACTGATTTAGTTGACGAAGCCTTGGTCCTCTTTCTCCTCCATGACGGCACCCATATGACGTTAATTCACTCTAACTTATAATGTTCGTTTAGAAGTGTTTTTGAAATGGTTGAAAGTGTTTTGGTGAAAATATTTTTGGAATCAATTCTTAGTAAAAATATAAGTGAAACTTGAAACTCAAAAACATTTTATCTAAAAGCGCTTTCAATTATTTTAAAATACTTCCAAACGAGCCCTAAATTTATAGAATGTGAATTTTTTTTTGTTAATATACTCTAGATATGATACGCATCAACGATGTCCTATACTCTTATTATAACAAATTAAATATATCTTACATATTACACTACATAACTTGTGTTTCAAGTAACCCAGTACTCTTAAAAAGAATTCTCCTAAAATCAAGGGGCTTTTAAGATTCAACCAGAGACTAGAGGAAAACTATGGGCTATGAAACTGCCTAGTTGGGTTTGCTCCCCAGCCTAGGTTCGAACCCCGAAGCTGTCAAAGTGGCCAGGCACTGTGCTGCAATGCACAGTTGGAGCATTTCACATGCGCCGGAGGGATTAGTCCTTGGGCCTAGGAAGCCTTTGGGATACCCTTGACTTAGTCAAAAAAAAAAAAAAAAAAAAACTAATTTAAGTTGACGAAGTTTGCACCCTCTTTCTCCTCCAATGATGGCTCCATATCAACTTTCAACATTCTGACCAATGAAAACCAGTCAGAGAAATCTCAGTTTTCAACTTTCGGTCTCTTCGTCACATGCATGATGTCGCTTAGTAAATGTGTCACTGCCACAACCTATTTATTCTTTGTTGGAATTAACCTAACATAACGACTTCTAAACCTGTCGCTTAGTTAATAGTAGTGTCGTAATCACTTGGTTTAGTTTTACGTGCAATTTCAGTGGTATATTTGGAAAATATTGTTGGGATCAATAAGAGCAGTTTTACTGGGGAACTGATTGTTAGAGTATGAGTGTGATTCATACAGTTTGGTAATAATCCTTGTTATCTCAGATTGCTATAGAGAAGTCTTAATATGTTTATGAGAGTTAATTCGACTTTGGTTTGGATTGAAACTCTGTGTTGATAAGCTTAAGAATATAACTTGTACAATGATTTGGTCTTGTATTCCTTGTAGGATTATTATAGGGTAATCCATATTTTGTAGTATAAAAACCACAAGCCCCTGCTCTCACAAAAATACGCTCTTATTGTTCCAATTACCTATAACTTGGAGAGCATTGAGTTTTGTAGAGAGAAGAAGGTTGTGTGTAGAGGGTGTCTTGGTATGTGTCCATGTGACAGTTAAAGAAGATGGAGAAGTCGGATTGTACACGCAGTGCCATGGCTTGATGCTTTACGTGTCCTGCTGTATTCTTGAACCCAGTTCCTTTTGGCAACAAAATAGTTTTCAACTGCAGCAAAGGTTGCGGTGTTCATGGTTATGACACCATCCGCGTGGCTCTTGCTTCCACTGATATTGGTCATGGTTGGACCGTCACCAATCATCACAACATTGGTCATTTGCTTTTGAACGATGACAGTCGCCTCGGAATCCACTTGTCTTTTGGCTTAATGGACTAGCACCATCTGATGTCTTTTAACAGCACACATGGGAAAGACTGGGAAAGACTTCGTGAAGTAGTCTGGAGGTATGTGTTGCACATATCACTTCAATATTTGCATATGTAGAACATATTTGATGTGTTGGTTGTGATTTAGTTGATATATTCTTGCGTTCTTGGCTAAGTATATTAACATAAAGCCTATGGTTAATCTTACATGTGGTATCAGAGCCAAAGAATTTAACATCTAAATTCGATCAAAAAAAAAAAAAAAAAAAAAAGCCAGCAAGATGTAATGGTAAATTAGCAGTGGTCAAGCTTAGTTTGTGAGAAAACATGTAGGGTTTGAATTGAGTTTGTTATGCATATCATGTTTGCCGCAATACAGGTTTGTCATATTTGCGGTAGCTGCCAAACGAATGATGGCTACATGTTGAACTCAATTTGATAGAATTGATCTATTAAGCTTGTACGGTTATTAATTTTTCTTCTGTGCGTTTGATTCCATGATGATGAATTTTTATAAGAATTAATCAAGGATTCATTGGCTGGTTATGGAATGTGAGTACATAAACTATTATTGTTGTTATCAATTATCTGTGGCTTTTTGTGGGTCTTATCGTTTTGAATTAATGAATATGATTATAAAGATGTGCATAAGATATGCCTTGCACAGACCAAATATTAGTAAGATAAAAGAAAGATGAAATCTTGGTTTGATGACATTAATAAGTTTTTGTTTGTCTAAGAGATATTAACGCTCATGGTTTGTCTTTTTTTTTTTCTGGGAATTTGTGTCGATGAGATTCTGGCCATCGCTTTGGCGATGATTTTGGTCCGGCGCATCTGTAACAATGGCGATTTACTTCGATAATCTGCAATGGTATGAGGTCCATGAGAATTGGGAGTGATGGCAATCCGCATGGATGGGTCTCGAGCATTGGTGGATAATTTGTTTCGTTGATTTGGAGTC